TGACACATCTTACTACCTGAAGTCCATAGTCTATTATGGTTCACTCTTGGAGTTGTCTGTGCATTTGAACAAATGTATAATGATATGTATCCACCAATACCATGTCATACAGAGTAGTTTCATTGCTCTAAAAATCCTCTATTCTCCACCTATTCCTCCTCCACACCCATCCACTCACCCAATCCCTGACACCGCTGATCTTCTTACATCTCCCTAGTTTTGCCATTTCCAGAAAGTCATATAGTCATAATCATACAGTTTGTAGCCTTTTGAGATTGGCTCTTTTGGCTTAGTAATGTTCATTTAAGTTTCCATTATGTCTTTTTATGGTTTGATAGCTCATTTCTTTTTAGTGGTGAATAATATCCCATTATCTAAATTTACCACTATTTATCTATTTGCCTTCTGAGGAAAACTTGGTTGCTTTCAAGTTCTGGCAATTGTAAGTAAGGCTGTTATAAACATCCATATGCAGGTTTCTGTGTGGACCTGAGTTTCCAACCCATTTGGGTAAGTACCAGGGAGGATGACTGCTGGATCAAATGTTAAAAATATGTTTAGTTTTATGAGGAACTGCCAAACTGTCTTCCAAAGTGGCTGCACCATTTTGCATTCCAATGAGCAATAAATGAGAGTTCATTTTGGTCCACATCCTAACCAACATTTAATGTTGTCAGAGTTCTGGATTTTGGCCATTTTAATAGGTGTGTATCTCTTTGTTGTTTTGACTTGCAATTCTTTAATGATATGCTGTTGGACATGTTTTCATATGCTTGTTACCTAATCATCTTTTTTTGGTGAGGTATCTGTTCAAGTCTTTTGCCCATATTTTAAATCAGGTTGTTCCTTTTCTTATTGTTGAATTCTAAGGGTTCTTTGTATAATTTGAATAACAGTCCTTTATCAGATGTATCTTTTGCAAATGTTTTCTCCTAGTCACTAGCTTGGTTTCTCATTCCTTTGACTAAAGTAATTTTAAGGAGTATAAGTATTAACATTTATGTATTAATCAACTGGATAAAAAATTTAAGGAGGACTAAATGTTGAACATAATGTAATATTTGATAAAATAGTTCATTTATCTGTATGATACATAGTATTACTTAATGTGTTTCTCTTATGTTAGAGGTACTGTTACTTCTATAATTTAGTATAACCTTGCTATATTTTAAAAAGTTTTAAATTTATGTATAAAGGTCATAGAAGTAAATTCAGTTTTAAGCAATAATATATCATAAATTTTCCTCAAACAATATATTAAATATTAAAACTCTGTTAAGGAAAATAGCACTTTCACAATTGCAATTAGACTGTTTAAATAGAAAGTTACCACCCCCAGGTGAAAGATAGATACAGCAATACCATGCTGTAAACATTGTTTTGAAAACATGCAATACATTGTTCACATAATTATATGCCATTATATGAGGAATAAGAATTAAATATTCTTCAAATAAACATTGAAACAAGCAACAAATATTTACTTAGCATAAAGTTTATTCACATGTATAAAAAATGTCTGTAATAGGAAATCCATTAAAGCCAAAATATAATCAAGCATGCAGGAAAAATGTATTCAAAAGCGAGTTGCTTTTTCCACATAATGAAAATTCTGGTAAGTACTGAGTTACCGTAAACTTTTAACTGTTAGGGAAACATTTTTAAACAACAACAAAAACATGCTGAAGGAAATACAATACGGAAGGTTAAAGGTATCAATATATGTCAGATATGTTCCAAAATGCTACACAGGCAGGATTTACAAAAGAATCTAGTTTTTAAAAAATTACGGAAATTCTAGACATTCTTCTAGTAGTATAAATGCCACATACAATATTTCAAATCAACCAGTAACTAATATAAACTATTTCACATTCAGTTAGAATAAAAAACAGTATGAATAATATGAAATTAAGTTTTCAAACAGCACTGACAAACTTCTTCTCATTAAAAAATTCACTTGTATGTATAGGAAAAGTACACATACACATAACTTATCTGAGAAATAGAAAAAAATTGTTAGAATTTTATAGGCAAACAGGACACCAGATATAGAGAACACCATTGCTCTAGCTCTTAATTGTTCTGAGGATTTTCACTGTGTATTCACTCAGAGGGCATAATATTAATGGATGCAAAACTCTGACACATAGTTTGTGCTCTCTTTGATTTTTTTCATCTTAAAAAGAGAATATTCTGTGTAGAATTATCTATCCTATTGAAGGCAAAACCCCATAAATGTGTATTTGTCTTTTTCTAGTCTTATTCCTGGTGACTCAGATGATAAAGAATCTACCTGCAAAGAGAAAGACTTGGTTTGATCCCTGGGTTGGGAAGATCCCTTGGAGAAGGAAATGGCAATCCACTCCAGTATTCTTGTCTGGAAAATCCCATGAACAGAGGAGCCTGGCAGGCTACAATCGGGGTCACAAAGAGTCGGACATGACTGTGTGACTTTCCCTTTTCTTTTCCCTTTTCATACCCATATTACATTCATTTCCTGATTGTAATAGAGGGGAAAACTGTCTAATCAACTATGAAGTTTTGTGTCAAGGTAGATTTAATGGTTAACACTAACCAGTTACTCAAGGAAGAAGCACAAACAAAAACAAATTAATCAAACCAAAAAACCCACTACCAAAAATACAACAGGAATAGAAAATGGAGAATGGCACAGAAATACATGTCCATTAATATTAAAATACTAATAATTTTATATTAATATTTTCCTTTTAATTATAATAAATATTTGTTGGTTATGATTCTATCACATTTTCTGCTTTATATTTAAATTATTATGGATTTGATTCTCAACACTGGATTCTCTACAAACAGCACTTATTTCATAATCATGATGAATTCCAGATTTGTTCAGGTTAGAGCAATAGTTTTACAGTAAGTGATGGCATATGACAAATCTATGCTGCTGCTGGGTGACGGGTTGTCACAGGCCCTAAAGCTGAATTTACAGCAAGATTTCTGGGAGTCAACTAGAGTAAACAAGTTCATGGAATATTTCAGATTGTGATTCAATAAAAGATAAACCGTATCTTATATTTTTATCAATCCTAAGAAACACATATGTGAGAAAATACAGATATGTAATATATGCTCTTATATACATTTATGTATAAATAACAAATGTCTATACATTTCTCATACAGACTTAGCATTGTTTATACTTTATAATTTGAGACAGTGTAATTCTATAGGTATAAGATGGGGCTGAGAAAAGTGTGCTTGCTCATTCTAAACCTAGCTCTTACCAACACGTTAGATTTGGGGCAAATTATTCTTGCATGCCTTAGAGTGATTGCTAAAATGATAAGAGTTTGCTTCCAATCTTTTTTTTTAATGTTTCCTAATTAGCCTCAGAACCAGCATTAGGTGCTTGCTTGCTTTAGTTATTTACTGGCTGTGTGACGCGTGCAATCTTAGTTCCCTGCCCAGGAATCAAACCCACGCCCCTTGCATTGCAAGTGCAGAGTCTTAACCACTAGGTCACCAGGGAAGTCCTGCCTCTGACCTTTTAAAGAGGATTAAAATAAGGGCAAAGTTACATGAGGAAAAGTGCTTATGTAAAGCCAATATATGACTAACAGTAAAAATTTTATAGGTTATGTAGGTGGCATTAAAAAGACCACTTTTCCTAATTGTATCTAAATGTTACTATGCATAAAATAGGTAACTAATGAGAACACTGTAGGAGAACTCTACTTAATGTACTGTGGTTACCTGAAAGGGAAAGAAGTTCAAAAGGGAAGGGATACATATATACACGTATGTATGTATGGTTGACTCATATATAATATATATGGTTAACGAAACAACACAGTAAAGCAACTATAATACTCCAATAAAAATTAATTTAAAACAAAACCAAACAACAAACAACAACAACAAATTTTGCCAGATGATTTCTTTGCAACAAATAACCAAAGAGACTCTGAAAATATCAAAGGTAAGGTCTTTAGCAGTTTGTAATGATTAAGCTCGTTCATCTGCATTAAGATCACACTGTCTTAAAAGCGAGACATACACTCAAACACAGTGTACTATGATTTATACTTTTTCAGCATTTAATTTGGAAGGACCTACCAAATGCCTGTGAGTTTTAATCTCATCTCTCTAAAAATTATAAAACAAAATACAATTTTATAAATGGTACTACATAGAAAAAAGCAATGCCTGGCAAAAACATAAAGAACAGAATTTTCTATTTCTCAGGAGTATGTTAGTTTTTGAGTTCCTGCAAAGAGGAAACAAATTCACATACATATAAATTCAAATAAATTTGTGCACACACATTCATTTCAGAAGTTTATAGCTTATATTCTATTATGTTTGTAAGGGGAGATTGGTCACATGCAGAATTAGAAGATACAAACTATAGGTCAAAATTATTACTTATGATCTTCTGTGTCCAGACAGTAAAAGATACAAGGGATTGCTGGTAACTTTAATCAATATTATTTTGATAGCAGAAAAGTAAGTTACTTCTAGGTTCTCAAACTATTATTTATAAACTTTGACAAATTTTCCAGATTAATAGTTATGCATAGTCAGATACAGATAACTTAGCAATGAAAATAGGTATGTCTACTCGTCGGTAATATGCACAAATTTATCAAGCTCCACTCCTAGATTTGAGGCCTATAATTTACTTCGTGGTATAACAACCCTTGCAAATCCTTGCCATTGCAACCATGCTCCCACTGAAGAAGTAACTCCCTAGTGTTTATTTTTTAAAGAAAACTATTGACTGCCCCCCCCCCATAATAAAGTATGCCTGATAGGAACAGTTCATGACTAAAATGTGCAAAATACAGTAAATGCTATGCAATAATTTAAGATAAAAAACTGATTTCATTAAGGTTATTGATTTATATTTACATGTCAGATTCTGTGAAGTATTTCCAACCAAAAAGAAATCCTAAAAAAGAGTAGATCCAATATTACAACTTGGAATAATCTAATAATTAGAAATTCTTTTTCTTTTTTTTTTAGTATTCAATACAATAAATCTATGGGGCTTTCCTGGTGGCTCAGACAGGAAAGAATCTGCCTGCAATGCAGGAGACCCTGGGTTGATCCCTGGATCTGGAAGAACCCCTGGAGAAGGGAATGGTTACCCACTCCAGTATTCTTGCCTGAAGAATTCCATGGACAGAGAAGCCTGGCAGACTACAGTCCATAGGTAGCAAAAAGTGGGACATAACTGAGCAACTAACACAACAACAACAAATCTACAACCTTTTCTGTACAAAGGATACAGAAGGTTCACCAGTTTTAGCTGTGACATCCATAACATTCTTTTGAACAGAACAATGCTCTCTTCACTGCAAGGATACAAAATTCCTTATCCAGCTGATTATCCAATTGAGGTCAGAGATGCTGACAGAACTCCAGAACACACGCTCATTTCTCCTTACTCCCTACAGTTTGTCCTACACAGCTGAACTGACCTGTCTTTTTTGGTTCAGGGAAAAGAACCACTTAAATAATGTGAATGTCCTATATCACCAAGACAATGAGGGCTTAGTGAGATGGGAGTGACATAGACTTTTTAAATACCCTAAAATCATTTGCTGGCCCAGGATAAGGTGGTGGTGGTGAAACACTCTGTTTTCTGGTCAATGCCACTGCCTGTTCATAAGAAGGTAATCCTGTATCTTCCAATGAAGGTGGCGATGGATACAAGACAGCCTCCTCTGGTCTTCTGAAGATGATGGAAGGAGTGTGTCTGCCCCTTCTTACGTAGGTGTCTGAAGAACTAAATAAGAGAGAGCATTTAGGTCTAGGAAAGGCAAAATTTTAGGCTAAGACAGCAATATTAAGAAATCCAACTATTTAGATCAAAGCTGAACCTTCTTTATTAATATAACAAGTTTTATTTTACCCATAAACTCTGAATGAGTCTTGGTTTAGTGGTTAAGACCAAGAGCTTTGAAGTCAGTCATGTGTATGAAACAGGATCCTGTCATTTCATAGCAATGTGACCAAAGGCAAGGTAACCTAACGTTTCTCCCTCTGTAAAATGGGAATAATAATAGCTATGTCAACAGAGGTGTTTTGTGTGGATTAAGAAAGATTATGTAAGGCATCTAAGCACAGTATGGAATACTGTAACGAGGACTCAAAACACATGAATTCTTTTTTTCTCCTATTCCTGAATCAAAATTTTCTCCAAGTATGGTGTTAAACCAAATCCAGGCTTTGTTGAAAGGTGCTACAACTCAAAGCTAAGGAAATTGATGCCACAGAGGTAATAACATCAGTGGATGCCCATCTCTCTCATGTTACCCCTGCAACCCTGCTGCCTGGTCCATCCCTCCTCAGCAGGGCTTCCATCCCATCATTCTTCTCCACAAAAGGCTAACTTGAAGTCCACTTTCTACTGAATCAACTTCCAACTCCTGTGCCTACTTTTCAAAGCCTCCCTTAATCTAGCCTTGCTTTATTTTATAGCTCTCTGGTCTTGCCAAGGTAGTGATCTCCACAGATCCAAGCCTAACAATTAGAAAAAAAAATTTTTAATTAAAAAAAAAAAGGCTTAGTTCAAGTTACACCATTTTCCACAAAACTTTGTCACCTACACCAGCCAATGAAAACTGAAATGCAATACCAGTCTGGTGTTCCAAAACTATATTTCCCCTTCTCACTTGTGAATTACAAATTATAATTTAAAGATAAGTAAACGGATCCATTTAGACTGTGAAGTTGGCTGTCTATGAAGCATCTATGCAGAAATTAACCTCCTATAGTATGGTTAATAAGATAATTAAAATATATAGATAATTCCGAACCTGTAGTCGATATTTATAATAGTATTCTTCCTAATAAGAGTTTAGCAGACCCAAAATACTGTACTCTTCTGCAAACTAAATTAATATCAACTTGCCTCATAGAATACCTTTGCTGTTGGAAGTTATAATGAGATCTGAAATTGAAAGGAAAGAGAGGAAAATAGCAGAGAGAGAAGAAAAGAAAAAGGTCTATGTAAATCGAGGAATTGGATAATCTGCCCTTCAATAGCCGAGAGGTGACTGAGAGCCTCAGAAGTTTACTTAGAGGGCTCAATACAATTCCTCCTCTGTCGGAAATCTGGAATGTACGCATGGTAGGATTGTCACTTGCCACATTCATTAGCTTGTGATGAAAAGTACTACTTGTTTGCTTATAGGAAACAGGAGAGACAGATGTTTTACTTGAAGAAATAAATTTTTCCACGTTGACCTTCAAAATCTGTTACAGGAACAGTATAATAATATTAAAGTCATTAAGTGTTTTCACAGTGATTTCTTACATATACCTTACATGACTGAAATCAGAAAGCACACACCAAGAACATCTCGGATAAGCTGACAGCATTATATTATGCCTATTTTCCTCCGTAAAATATAGGGATTAAGAAATGAAAAGATCTTGCTTCCCATTTCTTGGCATGTTTTTACAAAAAAATGAGACAAACTATTCTAACAATGATCTCATTTTTTTACTTTTTTTTTTTACTCTTTTCTTTTTCAAAATATTCCTCACCCTTCCCCCACTTCCAGACTTGCAAAATGTAGAAAGAGAACATGTAACTGTTGGAAAAATTTCTTGGGACAATTGATAAAAAGTACTTCAGTCAGTTAGTAAGTATTTAAAAGTTAATCTTAACACAAAGGAATGTCTGGTTAACCTAGTTTGAAATGTCCCCTATAAAGGGTTGCTCTGAGAATCAAAGTGAGACAGCAGATGTAAAAATGACCTATAAATGGGACACCATTCTACTGTACTAAGTATAACTAATCTTACTTTTAAAATAAGAGATATCTGGGTTTTCAAAATTTAATAATAACATACACAAAAAACATGCATAATAATGGCACCTCTTTATTCCATGCTTTGAATTCTGCTTCTAAACTCATGCAGGAAAGAAGCTAGAAGGCTTCAGAGAAAAAAAAAAGGCATAAGGTAAGAAGGTGTAGCGGTGAAGAAAAGCAGAGAAATGGAAAAAAAAATAGGAAAGAGAAGAGAACGATGTTGAGCATGACGCTGGACAGTGGCTCTGTTCACAGATCTTCAGGGAAATTATTAAATACTGAGGGCATACACATGGACTTTGGGGGAAAATATTGTAAATGAGATAGAAAAGAAGGAAAGATAAAAGACAAGGATAAAAGATAAAAGACAAGGAGAGTTTTTAAATATAAATATTCCAATTTCTTCATTAACTCATCGATTTCCAGGTATCCTGCAGCTTGTGGAGAAAGCCATATGAAGTAAGATCTTAGTCAAAAGCCCTTGAAAATGGTAAGAACTTGCTGATTTCCTGTCTGTTAAGCAGGTGAAATTAATAGAAACCTCAGCTTAAAGATAGTGGCTTAAGAAAAATAACACAAAATTTTCCTTACTTTCTTTCACTTTTCAAACTTTTCGAGGAGTTATAGGACTCTCAGACAATCTCCTTAGTTCCTGCCCAAGATCACGGAATGCCTAGGGGACTGTTAGGAATTCCAGCTGGGGGATAGAATTGCACTTTACACTGCCCCTGTCCTCTGCCCCCCTGTTGCTGGCATGTCCTCCCCTGCAGGGGCGTCCCAGGAAGATCAGTGGTAACAATCTGCCTGCAACGCAGAGGACAGGAGTTCAATCCGTGGGTTGGAAGGATTCCCTGGAGAAGGAAATGGCAACTCACTCCACTATGCCTGCTTGAGAAATCCCATGGACAGAGGAACCTGGTGGGCTACAGTCCATGGGGTCCCAAAAGAGCTGGACACAGCTAAGAGACTAAAACAACAGCAACAACCAACTTCCTCTGCACTCTTACTACGGGCCTCCTTTCAGACTTGCCTCTGCCCTCGTCTCTGTCCTTTCATCACACTCAGAAAACTTAACCTACTTTCATGGCTTCAGCTTTTATCTTCCAATGGATTTATCCTAATTCCACCTCTATTGCCCTAAACTCTTATCTTAACAATAAAGAAAAAATTTTAATTATGGTAAAATATGCAGAACATAAAGTCTGTCATTATAACCATTTTCAGGTGTACAATTAATGGTATTAATTATATTCACAATGTTGTACAGTCATCATCACTATTTCCATAATTGTTTTATCACCTGGTCAATAATGAGCGTCTTTGTAGAATTTGGAACCATAAACAGGGTAAATAAGGATATAGAAGAAATAATTCTGATTGCCTATTTCGCATGTGCTGCTTTTTTTTAAAAAAATAAGGTAGTTCTACACTTCTATCTATACTTACAGATAAGAATATGAATGATAATAACTTTTTACTCTAATGATGTTGAGATTTATTATACAAACAATTATGGCCTTTAAGAAGCTTTACTAATATGCTGGAATTCAGTTAATAGCAATCTATTAACATTGGCTTGTATTATCATGTCCAACTCTTTGTGACCCCATGGACGGGAGCCCGCCAGGCTTCTGTCCATTGAATCTTCCAGGCAAGAACACTGAAAGTGGCTACCCATTCCCTTCTCCAGGGGAATCTTCCTAATCTAGGGATTGAACCCAGGTTTCCTGCATTGCAGGCATTCTTTACATCTGAGCCCCCAGGAAAGCCCAAAGTTGGCTTGTCAGTTTTGCAAATGTAATACGGTAATATGAGAGGTTAACAGCGAAGGATCTGGTGAAGGATACATAGGAACTCTCTGTGCCCTCTTTGCAACTTTCCTGTGTATCTGAAATTATTGCAAAATAAAAAACAGACTTCAAAATATAGGCAGTCATTTTTTTAGCCATTTAAAAATAACAGTATAGAAAGTATACTAGTATAGAAAGTAAATTAAATATTTTCACTTGATACTTACCCTGGATACTGTTGCCTGTGACACTTGGTGATACAAAGATAGTAACCAGCTAATCCCAAAATAACCAAAAATACTCCTGCAGCAATTAATCCAGTCAGAAGGCCCATAACGTCGATTTTCTCTCTGTTAGCATCTTAAGAGAAATCATTAAACTAACATAAATATAACAACTGAAAAGCACCATCTATGATTTCAATAAATTTAACATTGAGTGTAAGCGCATTATTAAGCATCTAATAATTAACATTGGTTACTTTTAAAAGTCTGTGCCAGAGACATGACCAGAAAAAAAATAAAGAAAAAAAGATATACTTCCTAAAAGCCCTAGGTATGGCTTTATTTATTTTTATTATTTTAATCAAAATTATTTATTCATTTTGGCTGTGCTGGGTCTTAGTCGTGGTATGTGGGATCTAGATCCCTGACCAGGGATGGAACCCGGGTTCCCTGCATTGGGAGTTCAGAGACTTAGCCACTGGACCAACAGGGGAAGTCCCTGATTTATTTTAAATGTCAAGACTAAGTGGGATAAACATATTCTTTGTTCAACTATACACATTCTGATATTAACTACTGACAGAAAATTACTAAGCAACTCCAGAGTAGCTATGTAATATAGTTTCCCTACAGCTGGACCCTGCCTAGGAGGAATAAAAAAAATCACTGGCAAAACCAAAACAAACCTGACTAAAAAGCAGCTAGAGATGATCAATGCAGATAAGACAAAGGATCTCCCCTCTTTAGAAGTTACTTGATTCTATCTAACAATCTTAATTTACTTAGTAGCACAAGTATTCCATTCACTTGTAATGGTAAAAAAAGAAAAAAAAAATGAAAATAGCTTACTACTTGAAAGTAACAGTCTTACTTTTATTCTGTGCAAGTCCTGACTTAGCTGAGTTGTTTAAAAGAGCGAATTAAACCTATTATCTCATTTCCCTAGTATCTCACCAAACTTGATTTTCAGTGTATAAACAGATGAATGCGGCCTTTTCTGTCTTAGATAGCCCTGTGCATAATTGAGAAATCTTCCCCGGATTTACAAGGTATGTATGTTGTGCAACAACCAAACTCAAACAATGAAACTAAAAATGTACTATGATAGAGGGTGGGAAAAAAACATTAAAATTGATTCATTCTTGCCTTACCTGATTTTGTGGTCGGTCCTCTAACTGAATATTCTTGCCAAAATTTCTTCTAAGAGAAAGATAAAAATTTCCAAGGTTATTTAATTTCTTTAAGGTCATTTCATTTGGTCTCAAGGACCTAGACTAGGGGTGATAAACACTTGGCATGTGCCACAGGTTGGACACCAGTTCATTCATGCTGGAGCAAGTGACTCACTCTACTAAATAATTAAAGCATTGCCACCCACCACCATTTCTTCCAACTCTGAAATTGGCCAGGGATTTATTGCTAGTGCCAGCTCTTTACCACTGGATCCTGATATTTCTTCCTTCATTGGCCCAGGGCCCTCACTCAGATATCCAGGGACACTATCAAATTAGAGAGTTGATGAAAACAGCAGAGGTGGAAGCTGAAGCAGAGGACTCATGATTGTGTTTGAAAAGGAGCCTGACTTTTTTCTACACTAGGTGAGCCTTCAGTTTGCTGGGAGATTTTCATAGGTTTTTAAAAAAATTTTATTTTTGGCTGTGCTGGGTCTATGTTGTCTGCAGGCAGGTTTTCTCTAGTTGTGGCAATCAGCAGCTACTCTCTCGTTGCAGCGCGAGGGCTTTTCATTGTGGTGTCTTCTCGTTTTGGAGCACAGACTCAGTAGTGGTGACACAGTTCGTTGCCCCGAGGCACGTGGGATCTTCTGGGGCCAGGGATCTAACCCGTGTCCTCTGCATTAGCAGGCAGGCAGGCTTTCAACCACTGGACCACCAGGGAAGCCCTTGCTCAGAGATTTTATTAAAAGGTATTTATTTACTGATTTGGAAAGACATCCCTGAGACTTTTTATTTTTTTTAATCCCTGAGACTTTTTAAGTTCAGTGTTACTTGAGAGAATGGAAGCCGTTTTTCAGGAACGGTGGTAAAACTAGAAAATGGGTTTGTGAGAAACAGAACAGAATTTCAACAGACAACTACAAGGCAGAGCAGTCTTTGCTTCCTTTTTCTAAGAGACGCAGCAGATAACAGCCGCAACGGGAGGCTGGGGACAATTTGGGAAGAAAAAGAGCTAAGTTTCAGTAACACCTTCATTTGAAGAATACCGAGAGAGGTTCGTATTGACTAAAGAGTAAAATGGGATTCTTGAGGAAGGGGAAAAAGAGCTGGGGTTATTGAAGCTTGGGGTTATTTACAAAAGTAAAGAATCTGGGTCACTTGATAGTCTTAAAGAATATGCCAGATTATAACAGGGACAGTGCTGGCTATTTGTTTTGTACTTTTCAGGATTAACAGACGGAAGTTAATTATAATTTAAGGGAGAAATTCTAAAAGTTTATTGCCAAGCAATAAACTCCTGAATGCAGGGAATATATATTTTATCCTCAGTTTCTAGGGGAGCATATGACACATAGTAGATTGTCAATAAGTACTTGAAATATAAATATAGTCATCAAAAAGCTAAGTCTTGATAGGAAAAATTTCTCTTGAGTTTTGACTGACTGAAGCCTGAATCAGAGAGCTAACTCAATATCCTGCAGTTTAATTCACTGTGCTTCAAGACTGTCTTTGAGTATCATAAATGTTAAACACAAAATTATAGCATAATTGATAATTTGCTAATTACTGTAAACCCAGGGAAGTATAAAGTAAAATCTAAATGGGTTAATTAGCATTTTAAGAAAGTAGAAAGAGATAACAGGTATACAATCCTAATTTTACTTAAGGCATATAATTTCTAATGCCTAAAAGTACCACTTTTTAAAGTACAATTTAATAAACGTCTAGCCAATTAACATCATCAACAGAATTACCGTTTTATCTTCATCCACAAAAATCTCTCTGGCTTCCTCATAATTACAAAGTTCTTCTGTGCATTCTCTTTCTAGGTCACCGGGAGTGAAGAGCTCCAAATCAAATCTATTATATAGGAGGTGTCTATGTATGAACAGGTTTGCTTCTTCTTTTGATGTAAAAACTAACAAAGAAATAGAAAGATTGCAAACATTGATAAAAATAAGGCAGAAAATTCCTGTTTTAATTATGGGAAGAGCACATAGTTCCTTTGATGTGGTTAAATTACACCCAACTTTCTTCTGTGGTTTTAAAATCTGACAAAAAGAAATATCATCAGTAAAAATAATTTCTGCTAAAGATGAAATACAGATATTAATCAAATTCCAGGATATACTTGAGTAGATTATGTCCAAAGTTATCAGCATAAGTGAAAAAAAAATTGAGTTTCATTTTTTCCTCTAGACAATTATTTTTCCAATAAATGACAGGCCAGTCTATGCTATTTCTAAAGCACTGGTTTTCTGTTATTTTGACTGAGAAAAATTAGTCTGGTGTAGTGGCAGAGTGTTAGACACAGAAGACACAGATTTTTCTTTTCTGATTTGGCTTAGCTATCAGCTGTATATCCTGGGATAAGTCACTTACATCTCCGGGTTGCCATTTCCTAAATCACTTTTTTTTTTTGGCAGTGCTGTGTGGCATGCAGGATCTTAGTTCCCAACCAGGACCCATGACGCCTGCATTAGTAGCACAGAGTCCTGACCAAGACTGCTGGACCACCAAGAAGTCCCAGGTGTGAGTCTTAACAGAGCTATTTTGTCCAATATAGCAGCTACTAG